CAGGAATGTACATGGATACCGAAACAATAGTATGCTACATATTGCCTAAAACAAAGTTACATTCAGATGATATAGGTGACGTCTGACATACCGTCATGGCTTTCATGTACTCCCAAACGTCATCAATGACATAAATACTCAGAATCGGATCTGTGGAGAACTCCCGTAGTATTTGCAGCATTCTGAAGATATGGATCTCGGAGGTATCGTCATCACGACCTGAAAGCAGATGCAGTAATCCTCAACCAAGCTTTCATATAGAACATTTGTAACACACAAGAGTCGAATTTCAGAAAAATTTACCCTTAGGACCAGATTGTGAACTATTAAACTTCTGCGCAATCAAGTGGTCATACACCAACTCGCCTATTGCACGTCTGATTTCTTGGGGATCATCAATAAGCAAATCATATAATGGGCCTAGGTCATCATCTGGTATAAGCTGGTGTCTGCGAGCAATTAAGGTCCCGTTTTAAAATGATGCTCTCTAATGCCTAACTAGTGAAGTTCTGCTTTGGTCGGGAAAATTTAAGTTGTGCATGGATTACCTGAGCAGTTGTTTTACAAGTCCTATAGCACATACAGCTACAGACATATCAGCGTCATCAGCCATCTCAATCATCCGATTAGAAAATCTCTCAGTGAATAAACTAAGAGTTGGAACATTTTCATCCACTTCATAAAGCTTTTGCAAAGCCAAGAGAGAAGCTTTCCTCACACCAGCACTCTTCAGATTAAGGAAGATGCAAGATGATTTACTATCATGGATAAGAACTTTTATTCATCTTTAAGAGAATTAACAGGATCTTACTTTGTCGTTCAGTGTCCATCCAAGATATTTTAAGTACAGATCTTGTAAGAACAGAGATGGGTATGACAAAATCCAAATGCCAAGAGACTGAATGCATGACATCCGGATACTGGGATCAATATCTCGATATCGATGGACAAACAACCTTCAAAAGAACATAGAACAATAAGCTAGAATCACATAATAATCGTGGCAGAATGTATGCAACAGTAAATCTCCTAAACCTTTCTCATTCCTTTTATTTTATCCCGGGAGTAAAAGGGAGTGTAATACTTTTAGTTGATGTCACTTATCTTACCCGGTGAAAATTTTCCGCATCATCTCCTCCAATGTAGTTATTTGATCATGAGTATCTGACAACCTTTTGTTCAGTGACTCCACACGAGGACCATCAGCTCTTTTTTTCTTTTCTGCATTCAACTGTCTCTGTGTTGTTTCTCGCTGAGAACTGAGTGTGTTTGCCACAGAAATAAAAGATGTGACTAATTGGAGGCCCATTAGTGTAGCAACTTGGCGGTAAACTCTTGGCGGTGTACTGCAGTAGAAAGAAAAAATTTGAAAAATATCAGTACCATTATATGTCGTAAGTAACAGCATAGTATTATACTACAAAGCACAAACCATGAGAGTGCAATTATATAGTCCATGCACTTGTCAAACAAAACTTTATCGAACAATGGTCCATTCTGGCACTCAAGCACCAAATTATTCCAGAATGAAACAAGATTTTCTTTGAAATTCTTGAATTCCTTCTTTCTTGAACTTTGATAATCTTCAACTTCCCCCTACAGGCAATGGCAGTCAAACAGATGTTTCAAACAAAAACTGCGATGATAAATATGTAAAAAGAAAACATCAAAGAGAGCAACCCTTTACCGTTCTAGCAAGATTGACAAGAGCAACCACAACATCATCGACATCAGTTTCATCAAGTAGCTCTTCTTTTATGTAGTATTTAGCACCACAAGCCTACACAAATCATGTGCCAATTAGAAAACTGTTTTCTTATGATTATTCGGAAACTATTTTTAAGACTACAGAAAAACATATTGAAGCTCTAAATGGAGTACCTCAAACAGCATTGTCAAGAGTTCAACAGTTGCAGGTCTAGGATTCTCTTCATATCTTTCAACCCAAATCTTTACAGCTTTAGGAATAAGATTCCCATTCCCTTTGACGACCTCTGTTGAAAAACTCACCAAAAAAAATCATCTCCACTCAGCCTAAAACATAAATGCATAGGAGGCAGAAGAAGGAAATAAAAATGACACCAACAAGATACATCAGGCCAAACAAGATGACAGCTCTGGGGAGATGTTGAAATTTAGAAAGCCAACGTGAACAAAGAAGAGCGGATCAGAATCCTTTTCTTTTCTACGAACTAAATTGTTGTATTTCATGCGCTTCGTATGGCTAAGTGCGACAAAGTGAAAGACAGAAAGTTGAGATCTTCGTACTTCCACATATTGGGCTAGAGAAAGACGATAGCGTAACGACTAATGGATGAGATGTTGTCATACTTAACCTCTTCGCCATAGCAATGCCAAGAAAAAGGGGTTTACTAAAACAAATCTATCAAAGGGGTTTTAGGGTCAACCAATGAAAACTAGTTCAAAACAGAACGCATCTCGAGAAAAGCTGAACCAGTTCAATCCTCGATCCGGGAGAAAAATGATTTTGGATTTACCAATCAGATTCTGATGCGGTGGATGGATTGAGTTACGATTACGCTTCAACTGAGGTCGGTTCTCCTGGAAATCTTCTTCAGGTGAAGCATCGAGCTCCATCTGGCTAGGGCTCTGGTCACTGGCCTCACTGGCACTTCGCTCGTGATTCTCTCCGCCGCTTCCGTCATCCTTGTTAGCTTCTCCCTCATCGTCCTGGCCTGGAACCCTACTCCTTTTCTGCACAACAGACCAATCACACCAAAGTCGTTTCGCAACGCCCGGACTCCGAATCCAAAGAAAAAACAGGGGGAAGGAAGGGGAGAGAGAGGGGACTGACCTGGGGACGAGGAGTATCTTCCATGGTGAACTAGGGCTCGAGAGCGAAAGTTCAGCAAGTGGTGGTGTAGGAAGACTGTGCCCTAGAAATTTTGCAGTCGAAAGTCTACTACTGCTCCCGCCATTTGGTAATTTTACAATCTATTATCACTCAAGTGACAGACAGGTGAACTGTAGGATAAAAGATACAACGAGGTGCTGCTGATATGGGCCCAGCCCAAATATGTGGGCCATTACACGGAACCCAAACATGGGCTTCATACCCAACCTACCTTACCTACTAAGCAACATCAAACAATTCCAACTAATGAGACAGGGTTGGGCTTGGCTTTGGTTACGCAGAAGACAGACACCACGGTAAGAAAACCAAAATGCCGTTTAGACTCCATTCCCACAACAGCTAAAAGGTACATTTCATTGTACATAACGTTATAGTCTCATGGTCAGGGCATGCATGTATATACAGATTGGGATATTAAGAAGCGTCGGCCATAGAGTGGATGAGCAGAGCGTAGCCCTCGGGGATGGGAGACTGCAGCCTCACGCACTCGGCCAAGGAGGGGACATCGGATGCAACGTCCAGAAACTGTGCCACAAAGAGGAGCAGATGGAAATCAGCGATCCTCTTCACCAAAGGGAGGCTCTTGGTTCTCTCCATATGGTTTCTCAGACTCCGCATTGTTGCTTGCGTGTTCCTATTCTCTATTGGGAAGGTTGATGACAGAGGTCCCTGCCATCTCACACACACACAATAAACATACACTTATCAGAGCTACTGCATACAAAAGAATATTCAGGAAGGGGCCCTCTTTCAGATAAAGAAGAACCCTAAACCCAGATAGAAACCAGGCAGCTAAAGGGAAATTTATAATCTTTTCAAGGCGTTTGTCATTTGCCATTTGGAGGATGTTAACTCACAAAAAAAGAAACAAACTTGATGCTATCATTTCCTCTCAACTAAATCTTGAATGGCACACACAAAGATCTCAGCAAGACTGAATCTGAATAAACATAATACCAAGTAAGCCTCTCTATGCCTTCACTGGAAAACTGATGCACCATGCTTAGCCTAATCTATGGTTCAAGTTCTAATATGTTTCTTTCCTTGGCCTGATCAAACCTAATATTAGCCAAAAGGCAGGAGCTTGCCAGGATATGCAACTAATACCAAGCAGAAATCAGATGAACGATTATAATGCATAAGCTCAAGGGCACCCCAAAAAAAAGCCGACCTGATGATCCAAGATCTTGACGACCACGAGGAAGAAATCGTTGTCAACTTCCTTGACATCCTTGATACCGACAACCACCTCTTTCTTCATCTTGGAAATCTTAGGATCATCGTCCGGACCAATCTCCGTCTCGAACCACCCTTCCTTGAACAACCTTACGCACATATCACTCATCTGAAACGCTTCGAAGTGGACGTCTGCACCACCGTCTTCTTCATTGACCCCAAGCTTCACCACCGCAGTGACCCACTCCTTCAACTCGCTCTCTGCGTGAAGCTCCACCGCCTGTAACACCTCCTTGTTCGACATTGTGTACTCTGTCTTGTCCTGCATCACTGTCTGCGTGAATATAAACCCCACCTTCCTCATCCCCAGTCCCATGGCGATTGCCTCCACCCGCTTCTCTTCCTCTCCATCTCTCATCAGAAGCAGATTCTCTTCTGTTCCCCGCTGCGGCGGCTCGTATATGAAATTCACCTCTACCTGGCCTTCCTCCGACACGGTTCCGTACATGAACCCACCGCGCTTGACTGCGAACGCCAGCGACTCGTTGACGTAGTGCTGGAACGCGTTGGCGCAGTCGCGGTCGAACGAGACCGAGTCGCAGCGAGACTTCTCCTGGCGTGTCACGCGCATCTGGCGCGCGATCAGGTCATCGACCGTCATCTTCCTCCCGAACGATCCGGCGGGGGACACCGCGGGACCGCCGCAAACCGTGCGTTCGCCCTCGTAAGCAAGGTAGACAACTGAGCCGTGACCCAGATTCAGCGACGAGAGACGAAGGTTGGGGTCGGCCATGTCGCTGCACCGGGCGAGATCCTCGGGGGACTTGGCGAGGAGAAGATCCCGATTCGTGGACAAGGTCTGGCTGTGGACGGGGATCTGGAGCTGGCTCTGAATCAAGGTTTTGAGGTCGGAGACAGTGATATGGGGTCCATCGGCAGAGATTCGTTCCAAGCCATCTCTGCTACGGATTCTAAGCATCATCATATTGTTCAAACAGATTAAAGGGTGCAGAATTCCCTAGAAACAAACAGGTTGGAGAGAAACCCAACCCGTTCGGACAAGTAAAAAAGCAGGCTTTGGGGAGAATCTATGACGAGTACTTGGAGCGAATCCTTTCTAAGTGTTTTTCTTCATCGGATTGAAGACGAAGGGTACCCGGAAACGAAGCGCAGTTGGTTGGAGAGCAAGGGAGTTTCAGAAGGAAAAAGAAGATGATTCAGACGACGCCGTTTCAACTGCCCGCATGAATTTCCTTTTTTTATATGGTTGGTGGGCCTCGTAGTATGGGCCCACCCAGTCTTGAATCCGATTGGGCCATCGAACAAATTTGTATGGATATTCAAATGTGGCCGCGCATTGCATATATTTAAATGGTAGTTGCAATTTGCAAATGTAAATGATTGGAGCTTCTTCAGACAAATTACGCACAATGATACGGTTTTATGTTATCAAAAGAAGAGAGGACTATACCGTATTTTATTGTATTTTATTTTTGGCGAAAGACTATATCTTATACATCTTATTAAATATTATTTGGTCGAGCATCTACCTGCTAACAAATTCCAAGGACAATGTCAAAGTCTAAGCCGAGGAAGAACCCTACAGCATGACACGTCCTCCTGACAATTGGAACATTAACTAACAATGATTTCATATAGTAAACTCAGTACAAAAAAAAAAATAGTCCTGTCATTATCAACTTACTGTGGGGTCCGACCAAATAATTGATTTTAATATTTCATAGAACGATAACGAGAGATCTACAAAAATATTATAATGATTTCCGCTAAAATTTAAGTTTTTTTTAACCAACCGTTTTAAGGTTTCACATTTGAAAACAATATTCAATTTTGAGTACAAAAGACAAGAATACAGTTTTTTTTTATGTATAGGCATACTATAAAATTCAAGGATTAGGTTGAATGGAAAAAAAAAGCAGCATTATTATATCAAACACATATGATATGATCAACCCGCGGATTATTTGAAATATATTATAGGAAACGTGGAACGACCGGGGATGATATGATATAGTCCGGACAACTAACAAACAAAACTAAGACGGACCACCGTGACACGAGACACGAACTAACACGAGGAGGACAACATATGCATGCGACATAACATTCGGGCACAATCAAGATTAGATATCATCAGTGACCATAGAAATGACAGGATTAACGACGCCGCAATTCTTCCTGATCTCCCCATCCTCGCCAACCTTCACTTTGATGGCGTTGAGTTTCTTCATGGCCTTGGCGAACTTATCGAAGAACTTGCCAGGTCTGATGAGCTTCTCGGCCAGACGAGCCGAGTCGGGATCCGTCAGGAGGGCGGCGTCCGACTGGAACAAGCCCTTGTCCTCCAGCAAGATCTTGAAGTAATGGCTGTCGTAGCTGAATCCACTGTCGGGGTCCATCTCGACCGTAGAGAGATCGGTGGGGGAAGGAGTGCATTTGGTCTTTAGGAAGTCGGCATAGTCAGGGTCCAGTGACGGGTCCTGGTCTCCGGCCCCCGTGAAGTTGTAGAGACGGTTGTTGAAGAGGAAACAGTGCGCCATTCCGATGGTGTGACCCCCTTTTTTCCCCAATCAAAATCATATATGAAGTTGTAACGACATAACTATATGTGTATGTATATATATATAGTTAATATGTGTACGATAGTTGTTTTATACAGCTATATATATATATGAAAGTTAAAAGCTTACCGGAAAGAACGACGAGGTCCTTTTTGTTGAGGCCTTGGTCGGCGAAGTTCTTGAGAAGCTCGTCGAAGTTCATGAAGGGTGAAGGAAGACTTGCGTTCGCTTCTTCCATTTTTGATATTCTTCCATCTCTTCTCCCCGTTAGTACACCCCACACCGGCAACTTATACTATATACAAAAATAAAATAAAAAAAATAAATGGGTGTATAATGAATGTATCATGCTAACATCATGGAGATTAGAAAGGGGACTTCTCGATTAATAATTAAAAGAATTAATTTCATGATTAGGGTTTGGGAATATGAAAAAAAAAAAAAGGGACAAGTTTGATGGAAAGGAACTGACTTGGAAAGAAACTGCATCTCTAGCGGCTAAGGGAATGATATCGGCGCAAGAGACGATCCCTTCGCACACTTCCTCAAGCTTGGCTTTGATCTCATCGATCACATCCATTCCCGCCAACGACAAGTTCGGCGGCGCTTCCAATTCCGCTTGGTTCCCCGGCGTCGATTTTATCAGAACCGACGCATCGCAACCCTAATCATTTATAAACCATCTTCAAACCTCATGATGGCGTTGCAAAGAAAAGGGACAACACAGTACGCAAGTCTAGAAAATGGGTGCATGCATATGATGTGTTAGGTCTTGTCGTTTACGTGATAGTATATGTTTGGAAGCGATCATATATAGTCATCATAATGGATCTAATATGATTATAATGACATCTAAATACGTTGGCATGGATTACGTACCCTGACGAAGCAATCGTGGAAAGACATGCGGAGGAGTTTAGCGGGCAGGACAGGATTGGCAGCGACACGGCTCCAAGTGATGTTCCTCACAATCTCCTCAGCGAGAGGACATGTCTTCTCGTAGAAGTTCCTCTTCAGTCCATTTTCATCTCCTTCATCGTCTCCCCTCACTCCCACAACGGCTACTGTCATCACGACCACAATCATCCATTTCAAAATCCCACCTCTCATCTCTCCTTACCTGTTTTTGTTTGGAAATGGGACAATGCGAATATATGTAGAAGTCGAATTCTTTATATAGATATACATACATATGGTCCGGTAGGGCATTTCCTAGGCTTCTACCCTTTCCAAGATTTTAAAAAGAAATGGTATTTCAGAAAGATAAAAAGTATTCTAAAGTGGACTCAAATAAAAAAATTTCCAAGTGGGTAATTTGTATCACCCCATACGCAAAGCCACGCTATTGGATAAGATACAAAGACCAAGACTTTTGTTGTGTAAGACGACCAAGGCATTGTTGGGTTCTGAAGTTAATTAAAAAATTTTGCTGTTAATATATTAATTAGAAAGGCGGGTTCATAACTTCCTAGTTCCTACCAAAATATATCTATAATTTTGGTATGTTATTGTTTTTTAAACATAAATGCTATCCAAATAGTTTAAGTGACGATAAGGGTTGCATGTTATTTAAACCAAGGCAACTTGTTCAAACAAGTTAACCGGCACTTATTATTATTATTGTTATTCGAGAATATATTTTAGTATCTTAATTAATATACGGCCACACATCAAGTTGGTTGGAGAAAAAGAAGAAGAAATAGAACCAGATAATTAATTCGTAGATAGTAGAAATGTTTTGCGGTCAAATTGGAACATAATAACTTAATAAGTAACAAAGATGTCACATGCACAAAAACCTTCTACCACTTGCGTCCGAATATTTAGTTCCCATAACATTTAGTTGTGTTTTGTAATGATGTGTTGTTTCGACGAGAATAACCATATGCATGGATGCAGATAGATAGAGCTTTGATGTAAATTAATGTGAAATAGAGTCAAAAAATATATATATATAATACAGTATCTCAAAAGAAAGAAAACCCATATGGGTAATGTAAAGAAACCATACATCTTTTCAGCTTCAGTATCTCAATCAAATGAATATATTACCCTCCATACATATAACCTCTTCAATCAGGACCTGCTGCAACCATCCCCAAGTGCCACAGGTCGTTGCACACCCGAACTTCAGGTACTGCTGCCGACCGATAATAGACAGACACAGTAAATTGTAAACAACATATATAGCAACGCAATCATCTAATGGTAATGGATATATATAGTCCAGGATCTATATTCCACTTTCTTGAATGGTTTCAAAACAAAATACAGAAGAAAACACAACAGCGCCCATTATCGTTCATGCCAAAACTTACTGTGTCCCATCAATTCTTTAGCCCAAATATGACTCAGACGATTACTAAATGCAAAAGACAATGTAACTTGTAAACGATAAAAGATGCAGAGGAGGTGTATAGGCGAAAGAAACCTGTTGCAGAACAGCATGTGGTTTCATAGAAAGATCATTCCGAGTCTACAAATATCTGCAGGAAATTCCGACCACAGTCTCAAAATGAATATGGAAAACCAATACCGTAAAGTTCCCATTTTTACATGTAATTTCCATTTAGTCATTACAACAGCGACGAAAGTTTGTTGTGTGTGTGTCAAATCACATGAACAATATCAAAGGATTTCCCAATTGAATAAAATCAGGCCCAGCTGCCAGCATTTTATCAGTGTTAATCTTAAGAGAAAAGTTGGAATCCATAAAATAAACATTTACTAACCTCTATGTCAGGAACGAGTTCGTAAGTTCTTTTCTCTCTTGTGTCAACGGCTGTAATCCCAGCTATTTTCTGGACTCCAAGTTTTGTGGCAATAAGATTCTGAGCAAAACAGAGGGTTACCATTCTATGCTTAGAGCGAGACTAAGACACAATGTTAAAACATGGAGTAAAACTCATCGAGAACATTCCCCGAGTATATGCTATCGTACCAATTGCAGATCACTGGAGCCAAATGCCTCGATCCTGGGTAATGTCTGCAAAAAATTTCAAAGTGTACCACAAAAGAGAGTGAATTCCTCGCAAGTTAAGATAGCAAAAAACACAGTATGATAACGGTTGACTTGTTTCCAGCCCTTAGCTTCAAGCAATCACAGGTTCACATAAGATTCTATTCTAATATCAAAGATTCGGAGCTTCACATTTCTATAACAATCATCTGCGTGCATGTGTTTTACATGGCTTTTTTCTTGTGAGCATATGCAGCAAAAGGCTTGAAAAGAACCAAAACTCGGGCCATAATTAACACATGAGAACAGAAAAAGTGAAAAATACAGTACCATAGTCTGAAGACCATTAAACGCAACAGCCTTCTCCACTTGCGATTCATTGTGTGACAGGGAAACCTCAAAGGGTCCCAAAAGTCTGTCAGTCAAGTTTCTGAGATTCAGGTGTACCTAGTAAAGATGGCCAACATTCAGTTTGATTAAGCCATGTCTTCTGGACAGTTCCAATTTCCAGCATTACAAGAAAATGAGAGACAATCAGTTGTTTACCGGGAAGGGTCGGTTCAAGTAAATAACAGCTGGAACATCAAGAACACACATATCAATCTCTTTGTGCGTGACTGGCTGAAAATGAAAATTAATCTGATTCATTAAAAGGGCACAATTGTACGAAAAGAAACAGAAGTTCGAGAATGAGCAACCACATGAGCAACTGTAATTGTTAATGGAAGAGGCTAACATAGCTCATACCAGGGAATCCAAGAGTGACCAAAATATCCCAAGTTCATGTTCACAAAAGTGTCAATTATTAGAACACGTGAATACTTTCTGATATATGATGCATTGAATCATGCTTAATGGACATGCAAAAAAAAAAAAAAATAAAGATCATAATTAATGGAACGATCAGTGTGATGTGATAAGTGATAATTCCTAGTTACTTAAATTGCCACCAAGTGTACGTTTTGACTCCCACATCTTGCATTAGCTTGTAGGTTTCTGTCTACTTAATTTACATAATTTGACAAGAATTAGTGCTGGGATAGGGAACCGTGATATATCAAAGTTCTAAAGAAAACAAGCACATTCAAACAGGTGACAGATTACAGACTGAACTGCAAACGATAAACAATAAACGAAAAACTAGCTTATCCGTTCTCAGAAAATAAACATAGACTTACAGCACCAAGAATCTGTTGCGTTTGTAAGCGACCCGGTTCACCCAAATTTGTACGCCACGTTATTTGAAGTTTACCCAGAACGTTACTTCCATGGACTTTTGTTTCCCCAGAAACATCTGATGATGGTTTCAACTTATACAGATAGTTGTGGATACCCCCACCAGATCGGATGAGGACTGGTGGCTTATGGATCTGTCCACTAGGATCACTGATAAGTCAAAGGATATAATGAAAGAGATTAGCTCCATTTGACGGACGGTGACATTAAAGTGTCTCACAAGGGAAAATGCACAGTAGAAAAAAAGAAAAAGAAAAAGGAACATGAGAGCATGGCATATTATTTGATTTCAATAAAAAAAAATATATAACTGACTGTGCCGTACCTTGTTAGAAAGTCCTCTGTGGAATGATTATCATCAGCATGTAAGGTTACAGCACTCCATTGCTTGGCTGGTTCAAAATCAACTTGGTCCATATATAGGGTTGATTTTGTATGGTTCTCGATGCAAGCCTCTAAAAATGTAGTTTCCTGAAGTATAAGATCACAACAATTGCCCAAAGATGCAATCAACAGCACACACACAGAACTCAGATGAAAAAGTACCAAGTACCAACTGAAAAACAGTACACCAACAAGAAAGCAAAACGCAATATCACAAGGTGTTAAGAGTATATCTACATACTGTTAAATTTAGAATCACAGACAAAAAGGTTTACCACTTGTTCAAGAAATCATGGCCACGTGTTATATGGTCACCACAGACTAAAGTAGAACTGGTACAAGAAACACCGGACAGTCTATGCAGGCAATATGTATCATTAATATATGGTGAAGGAAATATAGTTTAGACTGAACAAAAATTACACAGAGGGTTTAATTTCAATTATTCATGTAATTATGTGTAGGTCATCCGAAGACTTACAGGATGAAAAATCTCGAACGTACCTTTACAACTCGGACCTGCATATCAGAAGGCGCAACTATCAGAGAAAGCCTGAAGTCGGGACTCAAACAAACATGAAACAACCAAAGAAAAATGGTCCTTCCGAAAGTGGGGAAAAATATGTCACCTTGGTCCTCACTGAAAGTGGGTTTGCGACCACGAACTTGAAAAACTGAGGAAGATATTTACGCTCACCATCACCGTCATTGTACAATGCACTGCAGACCAGCCTATCAAAGCACCAGTATCATGGTCATGGAGCAACATAAACAACAAGAGCTACACTGAGTTGGAGAAACAGAAAGATGAAGAAGCGTCCACCAAACTCACGTGTGAGCTCCAAGCTCTTTCACATCGTGTTCCACTATGAAATCATATCGCCCTCCTGCCCGTATTGATTCAACAGGTGATTTCGATGTATCTAGAAGAAGTATTCTCTGTCTTTCTGTCTGTATTTCTGCCTAAAACAAGACACAACCGGGACACCATTGTATCATGTGACTCTTCCATTTGAGCAAACCGAGTACCAAGAAACAAGCAGATGAGAGACACATCTAAGAACAATTCCGGGTATTCCAGATCATAAAATGAAATGGACGAGTGAGATGAAATCAAAACTCCAAGGATCAGCGAACAGGAATACCATGGAATCCAGAATTAACTACGGAAGACGGAAATGTAAGTGACGAACCTTGATGACGACATCTCGAACTTCGAAAGTGGAGCTGTTATTGATACTAATGTAGCTACAGAAGGTTTCTCCCAGATAGATCGCACTGTGTTGGAAAATCAACCAACAAAAACTCGAATCAAACAACTGAAGGAGACCGGAATCGGGAATTTACAAGCAGCCGCAACAGCAGATAGCGAGAGAGAGAGAACCCGAAGGACTGAGGAAGAAGGAGAAGGCCAGAGAGGCCGATGGGATCAGTGGGATGGCTGAGGAGGAATCTGTTGCTGTAGCTGAGATCGGAGTCGACGGCTGAAGCGGCGGACGAGACGAGGCGACGGAGGAGGGAGGCGGAGGAGGGGTCGTCGGAGAAGTCTTCACCGGCGAGGAGATCTAAAGGATCGAGACGGAGGGGAGGGTCCACGTGGAAGGAGGGTTTGCACAATCGCATCACCCTGAAGGCCAGGGAGTGCGGTCCCTGCGTCGCGCTCATTCTCTCTCCTCTCCGGAATTTTTCTTTTCCTTTCTCGTCTGTTGCTTTTCCGATTTGAAAGACGGACGAGTCTGTGAAAAAATATATAACTATTGGGCCGGGCCTTATTAACCATCATTGGGCTATCGCTGGCCTTTTATTATGTATGTATGTGTATATATTAATATTATTTCCGTTGGATAAATCATAAATGTCTTTTTAAATTATTAATTAACACCGACTTGCACTTATTTGTAACATGTAGAATTGTTGATGATGAGATTAGATAAAGTAATTTGTAACATATATATATATGATGATGATGATGATGAACATACAGTCCTACATGTTGAATTCGTAAAATATAGATTAGAAATTTATAATGGAATAATATAAAAATGAAGAATTGGATGATGGAAATAGCTTGTCTGGTATAAAAAAGGTAGCATGCTATGTCTCTGCTACTGATTTATAAAAGCCACCTTGGATTTTATATATGGAACATGTACATGTGACGCACCCAAATCGTGAAAGTAACCCTAAAAAAAAACACATGCATATTTCATTGAGATAATTCAATGCATACCAATATATTATATATATCGGGGTGGATGGATACATGCAATCTAACCTCATAAATCGTTACAGTAAGGGTAGGCATATATATAAACGACATGCATTAATTATTTTATATCGACGCGCCAACCAAGAATACGCCAAAAAAGGACAAGAAAATGTTACACTTCATACATAGTTACATACGGTCAATAAAGATGAAGAACTCTGTAAACGTCACCACGTCTAAACGTTTTATGGACGTCATGCCGTCTCGAGGGTTCGTGATAGGTTGCGCTGCCGTTTCTTTTCCGTACCTTGATTATGCATTCCTG